TTTTTTTTTTTTTTTTAAAATCGTTATTAAAGAGTTAGGTTACAACATTGTTACGGTGGCATGACGAAATAATCATCTTCTGACGAGGATGTCCACGTTGTAAATGCGATATACTGCATGGCGGAGTATATAGATGTAAGATTTTTTCATCTTCTCTCTAGCGAGAAGTAGTGTAGTACTGCGACGCGACTCGACGGAATTAAGACTCCTCGCTCGTGGAACTCCATGTTGGACCATGTTGTACCATGTTGTACCAGTGATGCCAGAAAACAAAGTGCGCTCGCATCGCGAAATAGGTAGAACCGTGTCTCACTTTCTGACATCATTGATCCTAACTGCCTTTATCTCGACAGAAAGAATGGAAATTTGATCAACTCGTAATTTCCAGGAGTAGGAACAAGGCGTACATCTTACTTCTCTTTTATGACTTTTTATTGCTAAGCTTTTTATTGCTGATTGGTTTATCTCGGAATATATTTGCAAATTTATAATATAACAACGGTTTTACGAATTAGATAATCAAGAGATATCTACTTTGATGTTGTCCAATTATATATCACGATTCATTGTAGAATGAGCATAAAAAAATCGAGCCAAATTCATGTGGTTTGTTTTTTGTTTAATTTTAAACTAGTGTACACTAGTTGTATTTAAAATAAAATATATATATTTGAAGTCTGACAAAAACAAAAGAGAAAGTTTTAGTGCAGGAACAGAAAACAAATCTAAGAGAGAAAAGAAATCCCTTATGAGACTTTCAATAATTATCCAAGCAGTGCTGATATACTGCATTGATTTAGCGCGGATGTCATTATGTCCAATGTAGTAATCTACTATACATGAAAATTGATTAGATTGAGCTTTAATATGTGTCTTGTTTTCTTCTTTTCTCTCGTTTCATTCAAAAAGATGATTAAAAGGAAGAAATGGCATATTAACTAAAATTTGAATAGATCAAATATAAGTGGACGAATTTCAAAATAGAGTTGTCTAAATCGTAAAACATTAATCACATTTCCTGATAAAAATTGTAAACCAATCAATCATTAGCAAAAGGACAGATAGCAAAAAAATTATATTGATTTTATAATAGCATGAAATATATAAAAATAGTATATATGTATATAAATACCGCATGTATAATTTTCATACAAATGTGACAAGTATAAACTGCGTTTCGATCAAATACAATCGTACCAACAGAAAACTTTGATAGATATCTTTTTTTTTAACGCAATAATGAGAAAGGATATTGTAAGATTATATCTAAACTAAAATCAATAGAAATATAACCAGGTAAATCACATTTTTCTCCAATGTCTGTACATACGTATAGTCTTGTCTAAAGACTAGATAGAGAATGCGCAATTTATATTTATTATGTGGGTTTCAACATAACGTCACGTTCCACTTCTCATTACGTGACCTATTTTATATCACTATCGTTTCTGGAGGGCGAAATTAGGCAGCGTTAAAATTTGTCTCTTTTTTTTTTAAGAAAGAAAATTTGGATTTTCTGTGTGGCATCAAAAAGATTTTACACATTGAAGTAAATTATGTTTTACACGTGTTACTCGTATTTGATAGAGTGAATTCACCAAATGTTTCGAGAATTTTCGATTCGGATGGATTGATAAATATCCTGTTAAGCTGGATCTGTCACAAAACTCATTTTTGTTACAGATATGGGATGCAGTATAGATTATTTAATATTAATTTATTTACTAAAAAAGAAGTTCCCAGAATTGTTCTGAATTTATTTTGTCACGAGACACAAAAAGCTGATTTACTTTAATGTACAATATGTGAGAAGAAACGATTTATGCTATTCTTCATTTCTTACATTATAAACCGACGTGGCTACTAGGAGTCTTAATTATTCCCCGTTCTTGTTGTCGAATCGAATTCAATGTATATATATATATGTGTAGGAACTTGTCCCCCTTTAACTTTAAATATCGCTAAACGCGTTTACTCTAATTAAAGGTAAACTAAAAAAGGATGTATAATCTAATGCGTCTAGTAACGTCGTTTGCGTCGCCATCATTTTATATCTTAAGACACTGCGGAATCGATGATCGACGAAGATATCGACTTGAGAATGCTGATGCTAATTAAAAAATACTACGTTGTCTTTTGTAGATTAGAACGACGCAACTTGACGGCGAATGCTTAATTATATCCCATGTATATATAAAAAAATGAAAATCCCTCTTTATCACATTGACTGCTACGTTGTATGCATCATTCAAATGCGAATGACATCAAATTTTTATAAGACGCCCCGTTTATTAATGTTCTAACACTAACACTAAAAAAGAAATAAAAAGAAGACATATTTGACTTTCTAAATCGTTCTCATGAAATTGAATGCTATTCATATATGAATGACGTAGCCAATGTGTTAACTAGTAAATGCGCCCTAAATTAAATTAAAATATAATCGGATGCCTGTAATGTGTAACTTGTCAGGATAAATTTCTGTGTACTTTCCTTTCAGTTTCTAAATTTTAATAGTACATATACCAAATGAGAATGTTTATGCTCTTATTTGGTTTTTTTATTTAAATATGGTCACATGACAAATCTGAATCATATGAGTTACGTGAAAAAAGTTTTGTTTAAAGAACTTTGAATTGTTTCAAAATGTAGAATTATACAAGCATTCGATTGTATATGTAACTATATACATCTAGACATTTCTTATACAAAGCCAATACTTGCAGAATTAATTTGAAAAAGTAGACTCTCATTGAAGAAAGACCCATCGTGTTGTTATCGCGATTCAACAAATACTTTATTTCTAAATTAATTTATTAAATGTACATATTGAATGTACATATAACTGGTTCCTCTTTAACCGACAATTGCTATACACGATTCTAGTTCAAGGCAAGCTGAAACGATGCGTAATCAAATATTTAGTAATTTGTTAACACATTACGAAACCGGTTGAGAAAGACATCGATGACGATTGGAAAAAAAGATCATTGTGCTATCGACATAATTTAGCATATAAATATGTAAGAGTCGTTCCTTCTCTAATAATTAATAATTAAACGTAACTCCAGTTGAACAGGAACTCGAAATAGGTGCGTAATGTAGCATCTAGCTATCATCATTTTGTAAAATGCAAAGGCAGGATCGAAACCGGTATGATTAAAAATTTTCAAAATTAAAATTCAATGCTCCTTTTGTTTACCATCTGCGAATATATAAACTGATAATTGTCTAAAAATCATTTCTCGTAAAAAAACTACTTGCCGAATCTATATCGGTTTCAAATCTTAACATACAGCGGACATTATCGCGAACTTAACTCAAGAAAGCAAAAACTAGACATAGATTACTGTATTCTCGTAAAACGAGTTTTATTAAGCCAGATAAGTTTTCAAGTTTTTTCGATCAAATTATAGTCATCGTACGTTAAGAAGCACTATAATACATAAATATAAAGATATCAAGCGATAACACACTAATGTCCGCATTTTATCCTGACTGACCTGTCATCTTGTAGACACATTATCATGGATCACTCTTTATTTTGTATTCAGATCTCTAACGAAAGAAATCCGTTAATGACCACATTACCGATGGAAAAAAAAACAGATACTTGAAATATGTTTCATTATATTCAAGATATATATTGTCGCTTTCACATATAAAAACCGATCGATTTGCAATAGAGTGACTAATGCGCGCTGTAATAATTAAAGAAAATATTAAAAACACAAATTGGTGTCTCTTGCCGGAGCATTTAGCTTAAAAAGAAACGGATATTTATTAATGCCTATCGGTCATGTCTCGGCTTTCAAAATATATTATTCCCAAATATTATCATTATGATTATCTTCACATTGATTTTTTTCTGGATTCTCGGCTTTTTTCAAATTCCCTTTTTTTTTCTTTTTTTTTTAATCTAAATGACGAACTTCTAATCGACTCAATGGAGCGATTTGTAATATTTTTAAGCCAATGACACATCGTACATGGCGAGTGGATTTTCTGTTAATAAAGTACTTTCGGTAATGGAAAAAGCTATTCTGTGCGTTACACATGTCCCTGGAATCAGTTACGTGGGAAATAGTCGAAAACTCCAGTTTTTCTCTTTTAGAAAGGATATAAAAAAACATAAGAACGAAAATGTTCTCTTAGAAAGTACTTGCGTGTTTCTGACATTGCAAGAATTATAAAAACATTGGTAGCATGTAATTTTTATTTATAAAAATATAATCTTAAGAAATGATTGATGTGTAAAATAATAAAGATGAATAATCTTTATACAATTTAGAAGATATATGTTAAGTTATTACTAGTGGCACTTGCAATGTATTAATTGTTACAAAATACAAAAATAAAATTATTTGTTAATGGTTTTTAAGGATATAAACTGTATAATATGAAATCGTAAAAAATTAAAAAATAAAAATACAATTGTCTGAATTTAAAAGTTTAAAAATGTAGATATCATGTAGATTCTCCTCGCAGCTGTATCCTGGGACAGAATTTAATTGTTCGATTTCTCTTTTTCTTCTAGGAGAATAAATCATAAATAAATGCAAAAGATTTGAAGGAAAAATGAGTGATATGTAAAAATTGGAGATGTTGATATTTGAATTAGTTTTATCAACGATGAAAGAATTAATAAAATAGACTTAAAGTAAACTTTAAAATAGACTTAAAATTAAAACTTTCTATTTATTAATTCTCTATCCTTCTTTTTTTTTTGTAAATTATTTCTGTATTTTATATTTTGTTTTAAATGAAATCTTTGTCTTTTCTCGAATTTCGCAGAAATATGTAAAATCTGTTGCTAACAATGTCTTCCTGGTTTTAAAAAAATATAAACAAGCTTTGCATAATAAAAGATTTCAAATGTATCAATGAAATTCACATTTTCGCCATGTACAAATTTTAAATTTCATTGTAAAGACTGAAATGTCTGAAAACTAAAAAGTAAAAAGCCAGTTTAGATGTCAAAAGTGATATGATTGGAGATATATCAGTTAGTTTAATTAGTTATACATATTTTGAAATAATTATGTCGAATAGTGCGTTTTACAAATTCTCAACGAGATGGCTAGCTCGATGCAAAGATTCGAACTTTTCGTGTTATCACGTTAGTAACACGAAAATTCTTTCGTACGAAAGAAATTTTGGAACTATCGAAATTTCAATTCGACGAAGTTATACCGATACTATCTCTAAGTCTGTTTGTTTCAGTTATATCTTTCACACTTCTTCTTTTTTTTATTTCTCTTTGAAACTTGGATATGGAATCGTTTTATTCTAAAATGCATGAAAGTACGGCTGGTACAAACAGACTCAAGTTATTTCTTTCGAATAATTTCAATTCTAAAATATCGAGAGAAATATCGAATCTGGAAAACGGAAGAGAAACTAACCAGAAATTTAGTTGTAAAATAAGCAATAAATCTTAATACGAATATTGAATATCCACTTCTTGGACATAGGTATATTGTTGATTATTTATCATTATTATTATTATTAATAAATAAATTCCTCAATTTTACGTTTTAATTAATTCCTTTCTCATGTCATCTCAGCGTATCTTTTTATCATCTATTTAAAATTTATGTTGGAAAAAAAAATGAGAGATTTCTGTGTTTTATAAGAGTGTGTAAAATATTCAAATATCAGTTTAAAATTCTATATAAATAATCTAATATCGATCAAAGA